GCCCTCACAGAGCTTAAGGTCTAAAAGGATGAATAACAAGAAAACAAAACATCAACTATGTAAGAAAGATGCAAACTGACTGCTTTTCAAAGATTAAGCTAAGGCTGAAGTCGTTATTGACTAGGGTGATTGAGGAAACTTCCTGAACCAAGTGATATTTGAGACAGTCTCAAAGGAAGGAGAGAAGGGAAATGGCGACTATTTCAGTGGCAGGGACTGGACTTGCACCGGCTAAGGTTTGGAAGATGGCAGCACCATAGGTCTATAGGCAATCAGAAGTAATATAAGATTATAGACTTAGAGGGCATCTAGACCAACTCCCTCATTTTATAAATGAAGAAACTAAAGCTTGAGGGGGCAGCTAGGTGGTGGAGCAGATAGAGTACCAGTCCTGAAGTCAGGAGGACCTGAGTTCAAATCTGGCCTCAGACACTTACTAGCTGTGTGACCCTGGGCAAATCACTTAACCCTGTTTGCCTCGGTTTCCTCATCTGTAAAATGGCAAACCACTCCAGTATCTTTACCAAGAAAACCCCAAAAAGAGGAACAACAACAATAACAAAAACTTCAGAGCTTAAATTATTTGCCCAAAGTCTCACAAATAGGGTCACACGTGTAGAGCTGGGAGGGAACCTTAAAGGTCATCTAGTCCAGTGCTATCATTTGATAGATGGGGAAACTGAGGCCCAGAGAAGTTAAATGATTTTTCCAAGGTCTCACTGGTAGCGAGTGGCAGAACTACAATTTTAACCTAGGCCCCTTCCCTTCAAATCCAGCACTCCCCAGCAGGCCACACTGCCTCCCAAGCTGAAGCAGGAAAAGTAAGGGAAGGGCCAAATTGTAGAGGCCTTTCATGGAGTCTGGTGATGGAGAGCTTGTGCAGAGAACTGGGATGGGGTGAGCAGATCTATGTCTAAGACAGTCTAGTCTGCTAGTTGTATAAAGAATGGATTCAGGGGTAGCTAGGTGGTGCAGTGGATAGAGCACTGGCCCTGGAGTCAGGAGGACCTGAGTTCCTCACACATTTACTAGCTATGTAACCCTGGGCAAGTCGCTTAACCCTGATTGCCTCCAAAAAAAAAAAAGGATTCAAGTTGGGTGAGAGGAGAGGGAGGGATGCTCTTCAGGCAGGTGGTAGTACTATGAGGTGGGGCTACTGTGAAGTTGCTGTGGGAATGTTAAGGGACAGTTTGGAAGATTCCATAGAACTTCCACCACACTGATGCAGCTTTGGGCCAAAACTGTTGAATTTTGCTGACAATGAGTTTGCTCCAAACTCTGAAAAATGTAGCCGTCAGGGACTCTCCTTGTGTCTTATCGCATCAAACTGCAACTACTGTGTCGGAGGTTCTCCAAGGCCTTCCCCAATCTGTGCCCACCTTATCTCTCCATCCTCCTGTCTGACCACCCTCCTATCTATCGCTGACCCTGAGAAGCTGGGGGCCAGGCCTCCTGAGAGTACTCCCTCTGGTCTCCGCTCATGCTGCCCCGACCAAGAACACTGTATCCTCCCTGTCCCAGAGCGTTTCAGATGGAAGGGCCCTTAGGGAACATTTTGGTCCTCAGATCTAGCCTAACTGTTCATGTTACAGAAGACTGAGCATCGGAAAGATTAGATAGATGACTTATCCAAGACCCATTTTTAAGAACCCGCTGAGCCAAGATCTGGCCCCAAGTCTTTGTAATCATCGTGGTGGTGCTCCGAAGTCCTGAGCAGTTCCACCATCCTACAGCGCTGCCTACCACCATATGATCTCCTTCATGGATATGATTTGCCTAACCAGATTGAGGGCTCCATGAGGCAAGGGAGATATTTGCTTTTTTTCCTGTGTCCCTCACCTAGCTCTAGGCACACGAATGACAGTTAATAAAGGCTTGTTGATTAATTGTCCAAGCTGAATGACTCGAAGAACCACGATTGAAATGCCAAGGTTTTTCCATAGCCCTAACAAATCAATTCAACCAACATTTATTCAGTGTCTGCTATGTCCAAGGAATTGACTGTGCTAGGCATCTGGGCATAGAAAGGCAAAACATAAACTCCTTAACATCTAGAGGACTCTGGCCATTCAGGAGTTTACTTTGCACAGAAAGAAAATAACATGTAAGTACACAGATAATCAATTGGCAAGCAAACCTTTATTAAGTGCCTACTAATACAAAGCAATTTCCAGAGGGAGTGGGTATCTCACTAAGGAGTTAATTGTCACTATTATTATTATTGTTTTGTCTTTTGCTAGGCAATGCGGTTAAGTGACTTGCCCAGGGTCACACAGCTAAATTGTAACTATTATTATTTAACATAATGGAAAGTTCACAGTACTGGAAGTCAGAGAACTTGGGTTCAAATCATGCCCCTGTCACTTGCTACATTGTGACCTTGTCACTTAACCTAAATGGAGTCTCAGTTTCCTTAACTGTAAAATGAGGGGTTTGGACCAGATCGCTTCTAAGAGCTTATGATTCTAAAGGGCAGCTCCAACCATGGCACCTCCCCTCCTCCCTTACTCAGTAAACTCCAGTGGCTCCTAATCGCCTCCAAGATCAAATATAAAACCCTCTGTTTGGCATTTAAAGCCCTTTGTAGCCTGGCCCCTTCGTTCCTCTCCAATCTTCTCATACTTACTCCACTCCATATACTTTGTGATCCAGTGACCCTGGCCTTCTGGAAGGTCCTCACCTGTGACACTTCCTCTCTGGGCTCTGGCCATTTTCATTGGCTCTTCTGCAAGCCTGGAACTGGAAGCCCTCCCCCTCTGTGCTCTGCAGATTCCCTGGCTTCCTGGAAGTCTCAGCCCAAGTCCTACCTCCTTTGCAGAGCCTTGCCCGGCTCACCTTCACCTTGCCTTCCTTCTGTTGATTATTTCTTATTTATCCTATCCATTTGGCACATAGTTTGTTTGGCCCATGCAAGTTGTTTCCCCCATTTGAATGTGAGCTCCTTGAGAGCGGGGACAGGCTTTTGCCTTTCTTTGCATCTCCAGGGCTTAGCATAGGGCCTGGCACATAGTAGGTGAGCAATAATGCTTGTTGACTGACTTGAATAGATAGAAGTAGCCTAGATTTGGGCCGAGAGGAATCATATACTTGCCACTTGAGCAATCTTGGGCAAGTCACTAAGCCAATAGAGGTCTCATTTTTCTTATCTGTGAAGCAAGAGGATCAGACTGGGTGACTTCTTCAATCTATGACGTTGTCTTACAGTTTGGTGCATCTGCCAGAGGCTGCAGCCTTGGAGTTGGAGGCTTTGGGTTCAAATGCTGACTAAGGATTACTACTTTGGGCAAGTCACTTAAAATGAGGGAGATGACCTAGAAGTCATCTTCCAGCTCTAAATCTGTGATCTTATATTACATAAAAAGAGCACTGGATTTGGACTGAGAGGGAGACCGTGGGTGGAAATCCCAACTCTGCTCCTTGTGTGGACTTGGTCAAGACACCAAGCTTTTCAGTTTCTCCAACTGTAAAATGAAAGGGTTGGAGAAGATAGCCCGCCAGCTCTAAACATTGGCAGCGTAGTTCAGGGGCCATCGAAATCCCATCCGTGGGACCCTGGGCAAGGCACTTGGTCAGCGCTTAGCACAGTGCCAGGCACATAGCAAGTACTTGTTGCCTGCTATTCGTTCACCTCTTTGGGTCTCAGTTTCCTCATTTGTAAAATACAGAAGTTGGACTCGCAGGGTTCTGGGGACCTTTCCAGCTCACTTTGATTCTATCAGACATCTGTAATGCGGCTTCTTTCCTCTCTGTGGTCATTCCCCTGCCCTCCACCCCCTCCTCTGGGAAGCCTGGAGGCAGTCGCTACCCCTCACTCCCACTCCCACCCCCTCTCGCCCGCGGCTGCCTCTAGAGGGCGCCCGGAAGGCCACTTGTCAGTCTCCCTTTGCCTGCTCCAGACGCTTCGCTCCCGAGCTGAGCAAACTTTCGGAGTTTCTCCTCCTCTTGCGTCATGGAAAAGGTTGGAGGGTGACCCGGAGAGTGGGTGGCGAGGAGCCGGGTGAGCTCCCCTGGTCTAGCGGCCCAGCCCCAGGACCGGTGTGGGTGTGTGGGCTGCTATTCTGCGAGACCGTGGGGAGGCCGGGCTCGCTCTCGATCCCGGACTGGGCAGATCGGCCTAGAGAGCCCAGGCAGACGGACGGACACCTCCTCCACGCCGGCAGTGCCAGCTCGCAGGAGCTCGAGCGGCCGGCTGCCCTCCTGAGGCGCCTGCAGCTGCTGAAAGTTGCGCGGGGGCAGGGATCGGCTTCCTGCGGGGCACCCGCGGCCGGAGCGCCGGCCCCCTTTTCGCCACTCCCAGCCCTTCGGATTCCGCAGCTCCTGTTTCTCCCTCCACCTAGTAGCCTTCCTGGAGAGGGTCCCCGAATCCTCGGCCTCTACGAGGGAGAGAGTACGGGCGTGCTTGGGTGTGTATTTGGATGTATGGCTACAAGATGGAGTGAAGGGAGCCCCAGTGCCAGCCGCGCGCCCCGAGGGCTGTGAGCGCAGGTGGGCAGCTGAGTTGGGGCCACCCTGCTCCCCGGGCGCTGCGCCGAGCACTGCATCCCTCTCTCCTTCCCATCCCTCGGTCCAAACGGAAGTGCCTCTGTTTTTGCTGAACTCCTCTGGCGGCTTTTTCTCCTCCGCCCTCCCTGCGAGTCTCCCTCTCTTCGTCCATCCTTCTCTGCCCTCCTCCCTCTCCAATCAGCCCTACCCCTCTGGACACAAGAACCCGGAATCGCATTTTTTTAAAAACTAGCTTCTTGTCGTTGCGAAGTTGATTGTTGAGGTGCTTCTCGTTCCTGGGAGGTTTGCCGATCGCTGCCCAGCCGGGACTCGGAGAGAAACCAACAGGATCACGCCTCATTCCCAACTCTTCTGCCTTTTTTTGAGAAATACCGCTCTGCGTGTGTGTCTGCGTGTTTGTGAGTGTGGAATTTGTGTTTTGTTCCCCTCGGCGCGGATCTGGGGGAGAGCTCTTGTACCCACTGTCATTGGTGGTGGGTTGTGGGTTGGTTTGTGTTTTAATGATTGATTTTATCCGGTGCTTTCCTCCGCGTCCTTTGCTCTAGCCCCTAGTTCCTGGCTCTTTGCTTTGAGTCAGTTTCAGGCGGGTGGAAACTGACCAAGAATTAAGCAAACAAAAGATTCCAAAAGAATCCTGGCAGAGGGGTTCCTCCACTACCTTTTTGATTCCTCTCAGCTTCCCTCCGCAGGCAGTGAGGAAGGTTGTTTTTTGGGGTGTGGGGGGTGTGGGGAGGGAGGACAAGTGTTCAAGCCAAGGGTTCGGGGGCCCAAAGAAACTTCCCCAAGCCCCTCCTTTTTCACTGGATCCAGGTTTGCTTCATGTTCTGTTTTGAACTGAAAGTTCACGTGAATTTTCCGGAGGTCTTGTGTAAGCCTTGGATTGTTGTTGTTTTTTTTTTTTTCCCCCGGATCTTGTTGGGAAGTGGGAGGGAGGTGTCCACCCTTGGATTTATTTCAGCCTTGTTAGGTTTTCCTTTTGCCCCTCTTGGGCTTTTTGGAATTTTTTTAAACCCAGTTCCTAAGAAGAGGAAAGGAAAGAAAGCAAAATATCCTTAAGTAATCCCCCACAAGAAAACCAACCAGTGAGTAACTTTTGGAGGAAGCTAACTGTTAGTTACTTTTCATTTTAAACTATTTTTTTTTCTGGGGGCACTGTTCTCACTTAAAGTGCATTATTTGGCCTCCTGGCCCCTGTTTTACAGTGCTGGTATCTAGGTGTGATTTTTTTTTTTTTGTCTTTTTGGGAGGCTTAGGGAGGAAAGAGATGTAAAATTGCAGCCCAGAGCTGGCTGTGGGAAAACAAGAGGCCAGATGGAGACTGTGAGATGAGTACCTAATGGGTGATGTTGTCCTGGCAAGACCCCCTTCTCTGGCCTGTATTGTCACCTAGAACCAAACCAGAGCCCTACTGGAGCAGACTGTTTGAACCCCTCTCTGGGCTATGTCACTTTCCACCAAGGGGGTGAGACTGTGTGGAATGCAAGGGCCATTCTTGAACTTCTGGCCTGTGTTGAGGGTAAAGGGGCAAGATTGTTGTGAATCCTTGGCAACGGTGTGTGTGTGTTTCTGGATGTGCATGTCAGAAGGCCCTGTCTCTACTTGAGTTTACTTGGGGTCTGAGCTGCACCCTCTTCCTCCCTGCCTTTCCCCTAGACTTTCCTTCCCTATCAAAAACAAACCCAACCCCAACCATGGCATTGAAAGGCCGAGCACTTTATGACTTCCAGAGTGAAAACAAAGAGGAGATCAGCATCCAACAGGATGAGGAGCTGGTGGTCTTCACCGAGACCTCCTTGGATGGCTGGCTTCAGGGGAAGAACAGCCGGGGGGAGACTGGGCTCTTCCCTGCCTCCTACGTGGAGATCCTTCGATCTCGTTGTGATTCCAACTATACAGACTATTCAAACAGTCCAGCCAGCTCTCCCAGCAATGAGACTTCTTTCTACGTCACCCCTGTGGTCAACACAGGCATCATGTCTCACCAGGGCAGCTTTGAGGATGATGATGAGGACTGGGATGATTGGGATGATGGGGGCACCGTGGTGGAGGAGCCACGGGGTGTTGGGCTGGGTACCAACGGGCACCCCCCTCTCAACCTGTCCTATCCCGGTGCCTATCCCAACCAACATATTAGCTTCCGGCCCAAGCCACCCCTAGAGCGCCAGGACAGCACTGCCTCTGGCAAGCGGGGTAGCGTGGTGGGGCGCAATCTGAACCGCTTCTCCTGTTTCGTCCGCTCTGGTGTGGAGGCCTTCATCCTGGGCGACGTGCCCATGATGGCCAAGATTGCTGAGGCCTACTACATTGAAATGGGTCCCAAAGGCCCTCAGTGGAAGGCCAGCCCCCACCCCTTCGCCTGCTCTGTGGAAGACCCCACCAAGCAGACCAAATTCAAGGGGATCAAAAGCTACATCTCCTATAAACTCACGCCCAGCCACGTGGGCTCGCCCGTCTACCGGCGCTACAAGCACTTCGACTGGCTCTACAACCGGCTGCTGCACAAGTTCACGGTGATCTCGGTGCCGCACCTGCCCGAGAAGCAGGCCACGGGCCGCTTCGAGGAGGACTTCATCGAGAAGCGCAAGCGCAGGCTGATCCTGTGGATGGACCATATGACCAGCCACCCCGTGCTGTCCCAGTACGAGGGCTTCCAGCACTTTCTCAGCTGCCTGGACGACAAGCAGTGGAAGATGGGCAAGCGGCGGGCCGAGAAGGACGAGATGGTGGGGGCCAGCTTCCTCCTGACCTTCCAGATCCCCACCGAGCACCAGGACCTCCAGGACGTGGAGGACCGCGTGGACGCCTTCAAGGCCTTCAGCAAGAAGATGGACGACAGCGTGCTGCAGCTGGCCAACGTGGCCTCGGAGCTGGTGCGCAAGCACATCGGGGGCTTCCGGAAGGAGTTCCAGAAGCTGGGCAGCGCCTTCCAGGCCATCAGCTACTCCTTCCAGCTGGACCCCCCCTACAGCTCGGACGCCCTCAACAACGCCATCTCCCACACGGGCAAGACCTACGAGACCGTGGGGGAGATGTTTGCCGAGCAACCCAAGAACGACCTCTTCCAAATGCTGGACCGCCTCTCGCTCTACCAGGGCCTGCTCTCCAATTTTCCTGACATTATCCACCTGCAGAAAGGTAAGGACTGGACTGGGGCTGGCCCTGACGAGGGGCTCAGGGAAGGACGGAGGACAGGGGAGCCCCTTTTCCTTCTAATACCAGTATCCCACACCTTCTGTCTGGCCAGAACTCTGTTCTTTTCAAGACTCTTCTGTTGGATATCTTCATTTCATTCTTACAGCATCCCTGTGAGATAAGGGACCATTATCCCCATTTGACAGATAAGGAAACTGAGATCTAGATTGGAAAAAGGACAAAAGCAGAACCAAGACTAGGACCCAAGGTTCCTAACTCCCACACCAGGCTTCTTTCCACTTCCTATGGGGCTGCCAGTCCAGAGTGAATCCCTGTGATCAAGAACCCTGGCTGCTATTTTTAGAGCTAAAAGGGAAACTGAAAAATCACTTGGTCCTCATTTTACAGATAGGAAACTGAAGCCTAGAGAGTATTAAGTGACTTGCCCCAACTACTAAGTGACGGAGTAGGGTTTGAACCCGGGTCTTCTGCTACATCACAGTGCTTTAAAACAACAACAACAACAACAACAACAAAACCATTCTTTTTACCAGGGTCAGTTCCCAAAGAGTAAGTGAAGGTGTAGACAAGGAACAGAGAAAGGAAGTGATTCACCCCAGGTTACACAGTGGAGCCCAGGGCGGTCAGGGGAAATGAAGTCCTGACTCACCTGGGAGCCCTTTTCATCCTGTAACCATCCAGTCTCCTCCTTCCCTCTTGTCTTTCTTCTCTTGACCCTTCACCTCTCCCTTGTCCTTTTCTTCCTCACCCTGGGTGAGTCACCAGCTGGACTAGGCAGGTCCCTGGTGCCTGGGCATTGAGCCATACTGTCAGGAACCCTGGCATGGGTCCATCACGGAGCCTCCCTGCCCGGTGCCTCCCAGTTCATCATCTCGGGGTGAGGGGACACCAAGGGACGAGCTTGACCAAGCCCAAGAGAGTGAGACTTTCCTGCTTCTTCCTGGGGCTGAGAGGGGTTACTAAGGAAATAAAGGAAGGAGGATGCTGGGCTAAGGGAGGTGCAGCCATACCCACAGGCTGGAGCTGGCCCTCAGTCAGCTTTGGAACTCAGAAAGGGTGCCTGGAGGGGGTTGGGCTGGGCCGGCAGGAAGGGACAGGGGCTCTCTGAGTCTGGACTTCCCCTTTGCTCTAACATCCTTGCCTTTCCTCTCCTCCTCTCTCCTTACCTCACTCTTCTTCTGGTTAAATTATCTGCTTCATTTCCTTTCAAGCCTTCCTCCTCCTGGGAAGATGGAACAAAGAACAGGTTGGAATGAGGGCTGGGGCCTCCAGAGATGTGGAGTGGATCTGAGTCCTGTGAAAGGGGAATAAATGTTTATTGAATTAAATTGAGGGGAACCTGAGTGGGCCAAGTTGGCAGGGCAGGATGGAGGGCCCCAGCCTCCGTGTCCTGGAAGCTGGGGTTTAGGGTGGAAGGCCCCAGCCTCCGTGTCCTGGAAGCTGGGGGTTAGGATGGAGGGCCCCAGCCTCCGTGTCCTGGAAGCTGGGGGTTAGGGTGGA